TATATATAGGGTTAGGTTATAATGTGGATGAACAACTATTGTGCAGACGTGTGGACAGTGCTATTCTACGAGAATTACTAAGAGAATAGATTGTTTAGGAATGGAATATGTTCAACCTCACACAATCATCATCATTTCATGCATTCTCACTAATTCTTATTCATTTTTATTCTCACACATCGTTTTTCACTCATTTTCATTCTTACATGATATGATTCTAACAACATTCTGACAGAATGAGAATAATAAAAAAATATATCTACAATAACCTTATAAACGATTTAATTAGTGAGAATATGAATAATGAAAATAATTAAGCAAGATTGAACGTATTCACACTATCAAACAACATATTTTCTTTCTTATTCTCACAGAATAACATTGTCCAAACATCCACACAATAGATGTCAATCCACATTTGAACCTCTCTCTCTCTCTCTCTCTCTCTCTCTCTATATATATATATATATATATATATATATATATATATATATATATATATATATATATATATATATATATACTACTTTATAAAAGAGATCTTATTATTTCTATAAATAGAATCAATATAATAATAATAATTTTTAAGACGTTCAAATCTTTAAGCTTAAACTACAACCAACTATTAATATAATAATATTATAATATATATCTTACAAATGATAATGCTAGAGATACAAGTATTAAAAACACATTTAAATTAGTATTTCCATATTTTTAGGGATTGAATTAGTATTTTCATCAATTTTGACTCAACTTGTACTCCTAAAATATCTCTTCTCTGGTATTTGGTGCATTCGAAATCTGAAACATTTCTTTTCGACAAATCGTTTGAAATTTAAAAGCTCATTCAAATTGGAGTTCCCTAATTTTTTGCATAAAATATAGTTGACTGGAGACTAATTCAAATCTTCATCTCCTTTTCCTCTTTGGAATCCACCACCACAATATTTTTTGGTTTTGGCATTGCACTTTTTATTTTTGTGAAACCGATCGATAATGGTGTAAGTGTTCTTAGAAATATAACAAGCCTCCGAATGGAACTAATTAATTGAGAATATATATATATATATATATATATATATATATATATATATATATATATATATATATATATATATATATATATATATATATATATATATATATATATATATAGGATCTGGTTCCTACGATGACTCATTTTAAAGTGAGGATTCGTGAGGATGTCATTTAAAAATTGAAAAAATCTAAAAAAAAAAATACAAATTATAAAATCGAACATAAGTCTATGTCCATAAGAAAATAATTTGGAAAAAAATTTGAATCATTAAAATTGATTCATGATTCAATTTTAATTTTTTATTTTGCATCATTATGATCCATGATTCAATTTTAATGATCCAATTTTTTTTTCCAATTTGTTTTCTCCCGGACATAGATCTATGCTCGAATGTTATGATTTGTATTTTTTTTTTATATTTTTTCTTTTTTTTTAATGAGTCCTCACTCAGGATAGTCATAAAGTTGCATCCCTTATCACTTCAAACCAACCAAGCATTTCTTATCGACCAAAATATGCTAAGAAACTAGATCTACAACCAAAGAATCATTAATATAGAAACTTGAGGACTTACAAATGGTCCAGAGAATGATTCCAAAGATGGAGAGGATTTGTTTCTTGATCCTTGGGCCAACACCTTCTTCTACTTCTTCCTTCAAAATGCAACAAAAGACCACAAAAAGCTTAACACATAACAACGGAGGCTAGGATTAGGGTTTCTGATCTTGAGAGGGTAATGAAAGCTGAGTGATCATGAAACCCTAGCCATAATGTCCTTTAACCACAAAAAGCTCAACACATAACAATGGAAGCTAGGGTTAGGGTTTCTGATCTTGAGATGGTAATGGAGGCTAAGTGATCACAAAACCCTAGCCATAATGTTCATTAAAAAGGGCCCAAAACCCAAGGATTGTGGTTTTCTCCAAAATCAAATGCTACGTCATGGCACTTATGGCCACACTGTGGCATGTCATTAAATCTCGTGATCATGAAAACATCGCCACATCGTGGTGAAGCTCCACCATGTCGTGGTCATCCAACATTGAAAACTGAAAGTATAATGAATCGACTCATACCTGAAACAGGTGTTACATCTCTTCACCACTTGAATAAGACTTCGTCCTCGAAGTCTGCTATTGTAAATAACTCGGGGTAATGCTCTCTCATCTCCTCTTCCGAATCCCATGTCCACTCAGAACCCTTTCGGTGCTGACATTACAACCTTATCAGCTCAACTACCTTGGTGCGCAAGATCTTGGACTTCTTGTCAAGAATCGCTACAGGTCTCTCCATATAGTTCATGCGCTTATCCACCTTGTTAGGTCGATATTAGTTGCGAAAAGTCAATTTGGTAGTTTTCTTTAGGTGAAGCATCGGTAAATAGCGAAGGTTCGCATGAGTTTGTTATCTTAATGTATTTACTAGCGAAGCATCTATAAATAGCAACGGTCCACATAATTTCGTTATCTTAATGTATTTACTAGCCATCTATAAGTTTCATATTGTCATGTATAGTCCTAGTTTTTTTATTCTCTGCTTACCCTATAAATAAGGTAGGTGCATAGAGGGTAGATTAACTTTCGTATCAGCCTTTCATTGTACTCAAATTCTTTGTGCTTTTCTGGAATAAATGTGTTGAAACAAGATCTTATTTAGATCGAAGTGTTCTTACTCTGTTTTTCTAATTGGTTAACTAAACCTCAATTCTAAATAACTTATTAATTGGTATCAGAGCAAGAATCATTACATCGATTGAATAATCCTTTGAAATTTTTATCTTATTGAGTCGATCTTTGCTATATTTCCGCAAGATATAAACGTAATTCTTCGTTTAATCGATTGTGATTAATCGATTAGGTGTTAGTATTTTTCATTCAATCCCACATCTAATTCATTTCTCATTAAAAAAATTCCTCATTTCACTCAATCCAATGGAAAATCTCAACGTTAACACAATGATGAATTTCGCAAACTTGCTTGGATCTGCAACCAAGGTTCCAATGTTAATTCTTGAGTACTACGATCAATGGGTGTATCGTATGGAGGATTATCTCAACGGTATTGATGAAGAACTTTAGAGATCTGTTTAATCTAGAACATATCATGTAGATTTAATTCAAGTTGTTGGAAATGTTGTTGCAGCAAAAGACATGATTTCACATGGAAAGAAGAAGAAAGTGAATGACAAAAGAAGTCTCTGTGAACTGGGAGGATCTCTTCCACCTGTTTTTTACAATTATATTCGAAGTTGCACTACAACAAACAAGATCTGGGATACTTTGAAGGAAAACTATCAAGGAAATAAAAGAACAAAGAGTTCTGTAACGAAGTGCTTGTCTGAATTGGCAAAGTTTAAGCAAAAGGAGAATGAGAGTATCGAGGCATACTACAATAGGAAAAATGATTTGATCTTCAAATGTAACTAATATGGACTGGTTCGTACAACCTTGGAGTTAAATATCACCTTTGTATTCATACTCAGAAAGGAATGGAGAAACATTTTTCTGATGATAAAGACATAGAAGAGTTTCGATACATACTCATTATCGAATCTCTATAATATTCTCAAAGCGCATGAATTGGAAGTAATGGAGATAGTTGAAGAAGACAAAATGAATTTCGGATGTTCGATGACACTTGTATCTAAGATAAATGCAAAGGAGGATGAGTCTGATGAAGAAGAAGAGAAAGAAGACGTAGAAGGTTTTATTCTCAACTTTGAAGATGAAGTTGTTACCTATTATTCGAATAATATGGTGAAAGGTTCTACAAGAAGTCGATAAGTGGAAATTTCAAGAATAGTTTGGAGAAGAAGTCGATGACTAATCTTGGTGCAAGTCATAAAGGAGTTGCAAAATTAGAGAAGAAAGAAGAATAATGGATGGTTGAGAAGCAATTAAAGGGTAATTCATGGTACAAGTGTAACTATTGCAATGGTCACAATCATCTGGCAAAATATTGTATGTTGAGGAAGAAAGAGGTGAAGAATGAGAAAGTGAAGGATGAAGCCTATTATGCAAAGGGACTTGAAGAAGTGTGTGCTCAATAAAAGAATCTCTTTCTAATAGCAAAGGGTGACGATGATAGTGAGGGAACATATCAGATGTGGTTCTCGGGGTCAGATGATGGGGAAATGTGTTATACCACCCACAGAGTGTTGTTTGCTAAACATGAGGGAGATGAATCAAGAGGAAAGAGCAGGTTCGTGAATGATGAGGAAGATTGTGATGATGGAAGGATAAAGAATGTGAAGGGAAAGGAGAGTGATGAAGAAGATGAGGAGAAAACTAGGAAGTGCTTCGTTACAACCGCACCAAATCCCCATTGACAACAAAGGAGCATGATCATTTTGTTTCTCTCAATATTCCTTTAAATTCTTATCATGCTATTTCTTCTGATTTTGATGAAACTTGCTCTTATCTTAATTACATGTTGATTTCTATGAGTAATGAAACTGAGAAATCTAAGGCCTTACTATACAAAGCTAGAAATAAGTTGGAGGAGAAGAATAGTAAGTTAGAATTAGCCATAAGTGAATGAGCCATACCTTTATAACGATGAATGGTTCTTGATTCACATCAAAATGTATGACGGTTCACTTTTATTGGGAAGTACAAAGTATCCATTGGATGGGACGTTCTATGTGATGTCTCATGGCTCAAGAAAAGTGATCATCATTTTTTTACACATGGAAGTTCAGGGCATCGATGGTTCACTAATTCACTTTCCATGAGGCATTGTCTCATTGGAACAATGTTTGAATTTGAATTTGACATTGTTTATTTAAGGACGACATGATCATTCAGTTTCCTTTTTCACATTTTCGGCATTCACGCAAAAACCCTAAATTCACTTTGCAATCAAGTCCCAAATTCTCTCTCAATCATTCATCACGTCTACTCAAAACATTGTGGTTGATTAATTCAACAAAAATGATGAAGAAATCTCTCAACCAACTATGAAGATTCCGAGCAACAATATTTGGTTCAACCCATTGATCAAGGTTTATCCTGACAAGTTGAAGATGCTTATTCAAGTGTTGAATGATTCAATTCTCACTCATGCTTTACTTACTTCTTTTTCTATATCCATGAAATGGTTATCTTTGGCTTCTTTAACTGATGTGTATAATAGAACTACAGAGATTGTTACATTTCAGTTGATCATGAACAAGAGAAAACGCTTGACTAAGAAGCAATTTTCCCATATTTTGAAATTATCGTCTGATGGAGAGTTCAATGAGGTTACGAGTGAACAAGTAGTGAACATGTTCAATGAAATGGGGAATCATCCAACTCTTTCAGTTGTTAGCCATTTCAAGAAGTCAAATCTTCCAGAGGTATGTAGTTTTTCTTTGGCTTCACTCTTCGTTGTTTAGCATGGAGGATTTTTGGGTTAGATAAAGCTAAACTCAGGCTCTACACTATTATCATTGGTTTGTACTATGGCCCAAATTTGGATTATGCGTCATTGCTCTAGGTTAAGTTTGGTAACTCATTTTCTCATTCGAAGATGACTAATGTAGTATCTAGTGCTCGTTTTTGGAGTTTGGTTTTACATGAGGTTTATACTTAAGAAGGTATTCCACTACCTGTCGATGATGATGTTGCCACATTTGCTCAAATGACTATTCCTAAATCTATCATAGATGATCCGGTTGTATTTCCTATGGTTGGTCGAATTCCTGACACAATTCTTAATTAGGTGTCTCCTACCAATACGATTTTGATTAACTACAAAGCTTATATGGATCCAACTTCTACTGGTATTCTTCCTAAGAAGGTTACTTTTAAAGCTGTGGAGGGATCTTCCAAATAAGCTAAGCTCAAGTCGAAGAATAAGCAAATTGTGAAAACTAAAGTAGTTGAGGAGGAGGTGTCTATGAAAATTATATTGTATCTGCGAAGTTAGGAAAGGGGTTCTTAAGAAAACAAAGAAATATATTTATGTGAAATCTACAAGTGTTGGTTCTACAATGCAACCCTGAAAAGATTTATAAGAGGGTTATTGAGGATGTTCCTACTTAAGAAGGTGAAAATACTACTCAAGAGGCTATCCCTAAGAAGCCTAAAAGATATAGTTATAGATGGCAAAGCAAGGTGTTATGCTCAAAGGTGTTTCTACTCCTGATTCTCCAAACACAAAAAAGAGAAAAGCGTAAGCAGTCGTGCAGAGATTGAAGAATTTTAAGCCTTCTCCTGTTGAAACACCAATAAGGATTAAAACAAATTATGATATGAAAGCCACAGGGGATGCATTGGATGGTTCGTTTCATGTTTCACCCAGGAAGGATACCTCAGTCAAATCGAATTTCAAAGAGGCATGTACTCCTAATGTCAATGTGAACATATCTAATATGGACGCAAACATCAATTCTGGTGAACAACTAATAACATCACTCCCTAAGAAGACAAATCTCACACCACCCGAAGTTTTGTATTCCAAGTCCAATATGGAGGAGGACGAAACTTCAAACATCAATGCGAACTTGTCTAATAAGGACACAAATGTTACCATGAGTGATGGGAATTCAACTTCAACCATTGATACTACAACTGTTCCACCACCACCACCACCTTCATCACTACCAAAAACATCTACCATTCCACTTACATCCATACCAGATGTATCACCAACTTTAAAAGAAGCCATATAACAACCTATTACAACTTTATTTTCATCTCAATCCACATAGGTTGAGCAAACTGTTAACGAAGAAGAAGGTAACGATGATGTTATGGTTGCCTTTTCAGACTTGGAGTTCCATCCAAAAGAAGATGATGTTCCTGATAATGTTATTATGTTGGGTAAACAATTCAAAACTCTAAATTCTAAGTTGAATCTGATTCTACATTTTTTGAATGATAGTGTTGGGAAGTCAAGTGTTAGTGGGTTTGAGGTCAAATATTTGTGAAAGGCTCACAAGACCTTCACAAGGACTCTTATTGAAGATGTTGATAAACATATTGATGAAAGGTTGGCTACTCATTCTTGTAGTTTTGATTATGAACATACGAAATTACAAGATGCTACTCACATCATGTGATATTTGAGAAGCTAGTGACTGATTTCATGGATTCTATTGAGTTGAAGATTAAGGAACAAATTGACTTATTTTCCAAAGTACTTTAGAAACTTGATAATTTTTGTGATACTTAATGGGAAGGTTAATGTGTTGATTCGAGCTACAACTCGTTTGGTGGAGGATCTTACTGTTTTCAATAATGATTACTCTGGAAATTTGAAATTAAAAAATGAAGCAGATGGTAAAGTGTTTGATAAAATTGAGAAGTCTCTTACTCGATTTCAGTAGACTCTATCTAAATTTGATCTAACTTCACAATCCAGAAGTCTCTTACTCGATTTCAGTAGACTCTATCTAAATTTGATCTAACTTCACAATCTTGGATTTCTCAAGAATCTCTCTCTACAATGTTTTCCACTGTTGAGTCAAGCTTTAATTATGAATTGGCTGTTATATCGGATTTGGTCCTTCGTCTTCCAACTAATGCTCCATGTTCTGTGAATGTGTCGCAAGGGAGAGAAAAAGGAGGTTGGTTCGTCTAAAGGATTTAGTGAAGACAGAGGCATAGTTGTGGGAAGAGTCATGTCTACTTAAATTCCCACTTCGCTACCAATGAAACCTTAGTGACAACTTCAACAACATAAACAACACAGAATGCTCCAAATGTCATTGTTGACTTATCCATATTGAAAAAGAAAGGGATAAGTATTGGAGAAGGAGGCTTGATTTCTGTTGTGGTTAAGACTACATCAACTGTTGATTCCAAAGATAGATGGAAGGATGTTCAATTCGAGCCCTCAATTGAAGAAAATAAAAGGTTGCAAGAGATTGAGTTGGAGAGGATGAGGCAGTTGAATAGAATTATGAGGCAGAGAAAAGATTATCCACCTGGTCTTAACAAAGGCGATCCAAAAAAAGTTTGGAATTGCAAATTGATTGAAAGTTCAACTTTTAGTGAAAATGAAGACTTTATGGTTAAGCCAAGGCAGAGTTATGTAATTGAGAATATAGAGTTTAGTCAACTGTATTTCCCAGTTAGTTACTCGTTGATTATGTTTTCTCAATTTAAACTTGTTGAGAATTACCAGTATAGGGAGAAACTTAAAAATTTGAAGATTCGATTTCATGCAGTATTAGGAAAGATTGAGGAAGAGTTATGGTTATTGGTGAAAATCATCAAGTTCCTATCAGTTACTCCTGATGTGATATTAGAAGGAGTGTTGCAGAACTTTTGTTACAAGGTGGTTCATGCAAATAAGATGCTATTTGAGTTAACAATTTCATATTTTCCACTTATGAATGTGAATGTGAATGTTTCAACTGCATTATTGATGGATGATCTTAAAAATACTGATATTCCAGACAAAACTACTTATGTTCTTAGATATGGGCATCTCAAAACTTTTGTGGATGCTTATGTTGTGCATTTGGCTCTGACAGATATTGATCTCTCTACTCACTTCAAAATAAGATTGAAAGTTCCTAAGGCATTGTTAAAAGAAAAAATAAGCATAAAGGATTATGAAGATGGAGATATTGTTCATGATCCTCTTGGAGTTGTGTTCATTGGAAAAGGGGAGAAGGATAATATAAAAAAGTTTTATTTCATGTCGATGATGTTGAAAGATACTCGAATTCACATTTTACTAGTATCCTACTATACATCAACAATTGTCAATGAAACGAGAATGAACACAGAGCAAAGATTAGGAAGATCATCCGTTGGTATGTAAAGATACAGGAAGTTTTGCTACGGACTGTAAAGATACTACCTAACGTTTGAAGATTCGTCTTTCCTAAAAAATAGGGGGGATGTTAGGTCTATATTTGTTGTGAGAAGTCGAATTGGTAGTTGTCTTTAGGCAAAGCATATGTAAATAGCGAAGTTCCACATGACTTGGCTATCTTAATGTATTTTCTAGGTATCTATGAGTTTCGTACTGTCATGAATAGTCTTAGTATTTTTTGATTCCGCAAGTACCCTATATATAAGGTAGGTACTTAGAGGGTAGAGTAACTTTCTGTAACGACCAAAATTTCGAAACAATTAAAACTTTTCAAAACAATCCATTTTAATAACGTTGTTACAAAAAGGTTTTCAATGCATTATTTAACAGAGTATTTTTCCCAGATCCATTTCATAAAACACCAACGCGAGGAACGGTACGATCACGCCTTTGCCTTGCCACAGACTCCTGAGAACCAGAAAACATAAAAACCACAACTGTAAGCCCGAAAGCTTAGTGAGATACCCCCAAAATACCAACCACATCTACGCCCTTCCAGGCCACAACCTTCCGGTCCAAAACATATCGCCTTCCAGCCCATAGCGTAATGCCTTCCGGCCCATAACACATTGCCTTCCGGCCCATAACATATCGCCTTCCGGCCCGCAACATAAAAAGCATACATATCATCATAGAACCTAGAACAACCATGCATACCGGGTTACAATCCATACCAGACAGCCATACACATAACATGTAATCATATAACAGTTCACAGTTAGCAAATCGATCAACAGATCACATAACATATCATTACCCTAACCAAGATACCAGCCTAGCCGATCACTAGCATAACATCACCCTACGACTCAACCAACACAATAATTATGCACATACGCCTTTCCAGGCCATGACCTTCCGGTCCACATCGCATTGCCTTCCGGCCCGCAACATGTAATGCCTTCCGGCCCATAACGTAACGCCTTCCGGCCCATATCCCGCAATATCATACAACAGACAATTACCCGGATTTCCATCCGATAAAAGGGTCGGCCTTGGTGCCTTAAACCCTATAGATATAGTGAGGATAACTCACCTTGAAACTGCCGACTGAACAGATAACCCAAGCTGCTCGATCCCTGATACGATCTCCACCACTGGACAGCCACCAATGCACTGAACTCAAAACCATAATCAACAATTACCAAAATACCCATGGAAACCACTGGTCAACCCTTGGTCAAAGACTGGGTCAAAGTCAACCCCTGACTGACCCTACTCGCCGAGTCAACCCTATGACTCGCCGAGTTCCCAAGTCAAAACTTCGCTCAATCCGCGACCTAACTCGCTGAGTCACCCCGAGACTCGTCGAGTCCAACAATTCTGATTCCACTCGCACACAACTCACCGAGTCCTCCCTTGGCTCACCGATTCTTTGACTCAACCAGGAAATATTGGGACTCTTCGACAAGACTCGCCGAGTCCAAGAACAGACTCGCCGAGTCTAAGGCTATCTTCAACCTACTCGTCGAGTTGTTCATCCAACTCGTCGAGTTCCAGACCATCTTCATCCAACTCGCCGAGTTGTTCTTCCAACTCGTCGAGTCTCAGCTCGTCTTCAAGCAACTCGCCGAGTCCACCCATGTGACTCGCCGAGTACCAGCGGTCTGAATCAATACAGAAGCATCCCAGGCCATGCAATTGGTCCAAAACATAGATCTAGCCTCCTACAACCCGTCCATCACGTAAAGTGGCAAACTTTACGTGAATCCATGAAGATCTAGGCATTATACACATTAGGGCTAAGGTTTGAGACAAGATAGTTTCACTACGTACTCAATCACAGGGACTTTCAGGCATTCCAACCCTTCTCCATTCCAGATCTGAGGTAGCAACCTCAGATCTAACCTCTAGACTCCAAAACACCAATAGATGTGATCTCAACATCCCCAAAAGTGAAGAATCTAGACAATAGCAGCTCAAGAACGAGATTTTACCTTCAAAGAATGCCCTAATCTGCAAGGAAACTCGAATCCAAGCAAAGCCCCTTGCTCTACACCTTCAAACTTCCAAACTTTCTTCAACAATTACTTCTCCAAGCTCCAATCCACTCAACAATGGTGCTTCTCCACGATTTTAGGGTTTCAGGGACTCAAAGGGGTGATAAAGAGCCTGGGGAGGAAACATAATGCTCTTTATATAGGGCTCAACCCCGAGAATTGGGGTTTTCTCCAATCAGCGCCTACTCGCCAAGTCCATCTCATTGACTCGCCGAGTCGGCTATTTAACACGCGACCAAGTCGCGATTCTACTCGCCGAGTCCATCCATGGACTCGCCGAGTCACTCTTTTCCAAATTACACTTTTAGCCCTTCCACTCAACTCTTGCTATTTCGGGATGTTACACTTTCGCATTAGCCTTTCACTATACTCAAACTCTTGGTCCTTTTCTGGAATAAACATGTTGAAACCATATCTTATTTAGATCGACATGTTCTTGCTCTATTTTCTTAATCAATTAACTAAAACATATTTCTTAACAAATTGTCACACCTGAATATCATCCAATGGTACCACTATAGAATCTTCGGCCATGCACTTCCGCAGTTGAGAGATATGAAACGTGTTGTGAATTTGGCTCAGTTTGGCTAGTAAATCCAATCGATATGTAACCTTGCCCACCGAGGCAAGGATCCTAAAAAGAGAAATGAATCTGGGGCCTAGCTTTCCCCGACTTAATTAATCCAATGACACATTTTCCAATATGACACCTTCAGGAGCACAAAATTCCCAACCTGAAACTCAAGGTATGAATGGATTTTGTATGCATAGCTCTTCCGATGGCTCTGTGCACCTATTGAATCAACTTGGTGGTCTTGAGCACCATCTCGATACTCCCCATGACTTATCCCACCTCGGCCCAGCAGATGGCGTCTGACACTTCCTCCCATAAAGCATCTCAAAAGGAGGTCGGTCAATTCTGGTGTGATAACTATTATTATAGGAAAACTCAACTAAAGGAAGGTACGTATCCCACCTCCCACCAAAATTAAGCATGCATGCCCGAAGCATATCCTCCAATGTCTGGATAGTCCACTCGCTCTGACTGTCGGTATGTGGGTAGAAAGTTATGCTAAAGTGAAATTGAGTACCCAACTCCTCGTGGAATTTCTTCCAGAATATTGAAGTAAATCGAACATCCCTATCCGAGACCACTGATACAAGAATTCCATGACATGCCACAACCACTCGGATATGGACATGTGCCAATATCCTCACAGAGATGCTCTCCTAAATGGGGATAACATGCGCATTCTTGGTCAACTGATTCACGATGACCCAAATCGAATCCACCCGCCGCGTGGTTTGCAGTAACTTCGTGATGAAGTCCATCGTGATCTCTTCCCATTTCCACATAGGAATACCCAACGACTCCCTCTTGTCATGAGGTCGTTAATGCTCTGCCTTGACTTTCTTGTAATTCAAGCACCTCTCCAAGTACCAAGCCACATCCTGCTTCATATAGGGCCACCAATAATCCAGTATGGGGTCTTTGTACTTCTCTATCGCACTCATATGGATAGAGAGTTTCGGCTCATTTGCCTCCTTCATCAGTACTTGTCATGCACCACCCCAATAAGGAACCCAAATCCTTTGATACAAGGTCAAATGTCCCCTATTGTCATAATCAAAAGAGGACAACTGGCCCACGATGCACTCACTCTTGCAGTGCTCCTCCTTCATTGCATCAACCTAAGCATAGCGAATCTGCTCCAGTAATGGGGTAATCACCATCATCCACAAACATAGGTCCTAAATAGGTGCTCCAATCGTCTTGCAACATAGCGCATCAGCCACCACGTTGGCCTTTCCAGGGTGGTATAAAAATCTCGCAGTCATAGTCCTTCACTACATCCAGCCACTTACACTGCCTCATATTCACATTTGGCAGATCCATCAAGTACCTCAAGCTCTTGTGATCCGTATAAATTGTACAGCGGACCCCATAGAGGTAATTTTATCAAATCTTAAGGGCGAAAACCATAGCCTCCAACTCCAGATCCTGCGTAGGATAATTCGCCTTATGAGGCTTCAGCTGCTTTAACGCATAAGAAAACACCGTTGCATAAGCACTATGCCCAATCCCATGATAGATGCATCACAATAAACCATGAATTCATGAATTCCCTAGGGAAGAGTCAAGCTCATAGCCTCACACAATTTCTGCCTCAGAGTCTCAAATGTTTCCTGCTGCTCAGGCCCCCAACGGAAGGTAACTGTCTTCTTCGTCAACCTGGTTAACGAAAATATGATCCTAGAGAAATTCTCAATGAACCTCTAATAATACATGTTAAGCCAAGGAAACTCCGAATCTCGGATGGAGAACTCGAAACCTCCCACTCCATAAAAGCCTCTATTCTTGCCAGATTGACCAATATACTCTTCTGATTGACGAGGTATCCCAAGAATTGCACCTCACACAACCAGAACTCAGATTTGGAGAATTTTTCATAAATCCTCTCCCTCCTCAAAGTCTCCCTTACCTCTAGGTGATCCTCATACTTCTCCTTGGTCTTATAATAGACCACGATATCATCAATGAAGAAGATTACCAACCGACATCGGCCTATAAACCTTTTTCATAAGGTCCATGAATGTTGTTGGTGCAGTGGTGAGCCTAAAAGGAATCACCACGAACTCATAGTGACCATATCAAGTTCTGAAAGTTGTCTTCCGAACATATTCATCCGGAAACCTCATCTGATGGTAGCCTAAATGCAGATCATTCTTGGAAACCAAGATGAACCATGTAGTTGGTCAAACAAGTCATTGATCCTCGAAAGTGGATAACGGTTCTTCACTATTATTTTTTTCAGCTCCCGTTAATTGATGCACATCCTGTGGGAACACTTTCTTCACAAACATTATCGGTGTTCCCCAGGGTGAACTACCCGACCTGATAAATCCTTTGTCTAACAACTCCTGTAGCAGTGTAGACAACTCCTG